CAACGTATTATGCCTAATAGTTTTAAAAAAAATTCAATAGATATTAATGATGCATTTGGTTTATAAGAAGTTATAATAAGTATACTGTAAGTTAATGATGATTTAAAATCATTCTAATGTTAGTGGCTTTAAAATTTAAAACAAAACAAAGTTTTTATTAAATAACATTATATTTAATTTTAATTTTTATGTTAATCAATATAATAATAATTTATTTGACTATGAAACAGGCTTTGGATTATTAATGGGTGATTCTTAACTAGTAACTGTAGCAACTATGTCTTAAGTCTTAAAATAACGAATTCATAGCATTTGATAAAGTTCTACATATGCTTGATTTAATAAGACGTGCTTGTATTGGTTTAGAGTTAATGGTATATTTAAAAGTTTAATATTATGTGCTTGCCAGGAAAATTTTATAGATATATTATGTCATTTATATAGTGTAGTTTTATAAGACCGATTTATTTCTGCATAGAAATAACCAAATTCATAGAATTAAATTAATGTAATTTAATTAGCAAATAGAAGAAAATATATTAGTAAGAATAACAATTTTAACATTGCTAACGAATAATAGAAACACTTCAATGGAAAAATATGTTTTCCTTATTAGACATAACAAACATATATAGGAAATCTGATGTGAATACTTGGAAGTCAACTTTCACATGGTTTTACTAAAGTAAGAATAAAATTTGAATAAAGATAATATTAAGTCGTAAAGTACTCCGATGATTTCATCAATGCCTAAGGAGTATATTCGATTGAAAGTTTTGGTATATATAAGGCAAATATTCTTATACAATATTGTATTCTATTGGCGTTCAATATATTCAGCTTGAGAATATTAAGTTGTAGGTTTTTTTCTTAATTTAGTTTTTATTATTTATTTGCAAATTGTGATCTATGCATGATACAAAAACCATAAGTTTGTCGACAATGTAATATGTTACGAGAAAAGTTCATACTATAAAAAGAGAAGATACTCAGCCACATCACACAATTAGGTTGTAAATATCATTGGTTCACCTGGGGAAGCCATTGTGTTTGATAATCAAAATATAATATGTTACTGGTGCGATATAATGCAGAATCAATGATACATAGTGTTTCCATATGTCACTAAAGATAGAAATTGGCATGTAATTAATGACATCGTAAATATTTCTAAATAAAACAATCAATGTTTTGCAACTATATGCTTTTGTTCATCTGGATAGCCAGTCTAATTATTTAGAAAGTTATTATGAAAAGAAAAGAAAAATTGTAAAGAATACAATAATTTAATATATTGGTCTTCTTCTATTTTCGCGTCTTCTATTTTTAATCACATCATTGCATTGTCTATTGTATCAATTAGATATTAGACCAAAAAATGCATGGTATATTGGAGTACGATAAAAATATGTTCATGGTACTAAGATACAATAAAAAATTAGAATTTGAAAAGTTAAAATTTTAGTGATATATATACATCAATATCTATTGAAAATTTAATTTAGAAATCTAATCCAAGGTTAGAAGATCAAGACTCTTACAATGGACAAACTTTGTTAAAGGTGAGAAGCATCATCGCAGATACACCATCAGGTATAAATATAATGATTTTATTCTGATGATTACCAAGATAACAACAGCAAGACAGGAGACAAAATGCATCTATGTGGTGCCATCTTTTATGTAACTACTACGTATACAGTATCACCATTGTTAATCCATTTTGTATTATTCGGTCATCGTTCTGCTTCGGGTGTGGTATTCGATGTACAATACGTTTCAAAAATGAAAAGCAATTTTAATTCCAACAACAATCGATAGGTACTTTTACCTACATCCATATAACTGGCACATGTTTACGAAATCCGACGTATGCACTTACGACAAGGAAGTATTTAGACTCTTAGTTCAACAAATATTTGATTCAAAAGACAAATTATTCGGGGAGTGGGAAAAATGCAGCCGTGCTCTAAGGCATGTTAATGGCGTCAGTTTAGGGTCTTGTCTATCTATTGTATAGTTTATCATACTTTACTGATTTGATGGCTGCACGGTAGGTAATTTGGATTTTGAAAATGTATACAAATAGGTACAAATATTTATGCTGCCTATAAACCATGTTATTCTTAGAAAAATCGACTAAACAATATTTAAATCTTCGCAATTTATGTTAACGTTTATAGAACTATGCTAATAACCTTTTCAAATATAATTTTAGTGAAGTATATTTTTAAGGGACGAAATTAATTCAAAATGTCGACCAATAATGCGTGTAGTTCAAAGTCGAATTGCAATGACTTGAATAGTATTAAATAATACGTTTGCAGTCGATTTTTGAACAGTTTGAAGTACATAAATAGTTGGAACTCTATTTGCAACTACATTACTGACAAACATGATAAAATAAAATAAAATATAAATAACATTTAAATACAGAAAAAAATCAACACCGATAGTAATTTATAAATACATAACTAAGAACGATTTTACCGATAGATTCTTGTACAAAAACAACCAGATCGTATCATTATTATTTATTACGTACAGATATGGGGAACATCGACCATTGACCTCTGTCAAGGTGTTTCAAACCTCAGAGGCATTCATTTTTGCACTATAGGTCGCATATTTTCCTATGTCTATACACAGATTCTTGGAACTCAAGTTCTGTTGCAGCTACTATTGTTGAATAACGGTAAATACGGCTTCGTGATATAACTTCAATTGTTATCACATCTCGTTTTACTTTATCTATTGCCCTGAACAAATAGTTTCTTGAAAAATAGACTAGAAGCTGTGTGATGGAAACTCGTAGGTCACTGAGGGTTATTGTGGCCTGAATTGCGACAAAATATCGTGAACAGCCGATTCGATTTTTACTGTGAGACACTAACACATGCATGAGTAGCGAGTAGAAGGAAAAATAAATACATCGTGCAATTATATAAGTTCTTCGAATACCGCATACTACACGTATGTGTAAAAGAAAATAGATTTATAGTTAAAATACGAATTTGCATAGTACCTAATAAAATTGTACTTTATTTGTAACATGTGAGTTACTATAGTATTTATGTTTATACAATGTATGTGTAGGAAAACTTAACTGTCAAGCAGATGCTGCAGGGATGAACAGTGTATCATTATTGATGATCGAAAAAGTTGGTCACACATGTTATATAAGTATATATTTTTGTAAAAACACGACATATTTATTTGGACCTATTTTTCAGTAGTATATAATTTATAATTCGATGTTCATATTTGTATGTATGTATGTATGTATGTATGTATGTATGTATGTATGTGTGTGTGTGTGTGTGTGTGTGTGTGTGTGTTTGTGCGCGTATATGAGTTATTTTTTACGGTCCAATCAAGAACATGATATTGGGATGATTTGCTGGGGTATTATGCAAAATATAGATGAAAATGCACAGCTGTGGTTCGAAGTGGCCCACAGTTACTATGATACGGATGTTTATGACAGCAGTATTTTTACCAAACTGCTAATTTAGAATACATCTATATTTATGTTTTTTAATTTTTTACGATAAGCGCGTCTTTGTAATTTGATAATTTTTTCCCCGGTGAATTCAATACATTTTTTTTGGTGTCCTGTGCTAATCGTTTTGTGTCATAATGTGTTATTATTTATTATCATGATACGTCGAGATATGAAAATATTAATATTAAACGGTCATTCAATTTTTTTTTCTCGTTTATTGTGCAATTGTCGAACTGAAATTACAACGCATTAAGTGTATATGAAAACATGTGTTGGCCTTTAATATAATTGATTGGAAAAAAAATACTGACGAGATTGTTAGATTTCATGGTTTGATCATCAGATAATTTTATAATGAAGTCATAAGCACCTTGTTAGAGCGTGTAAATTGTTTCACGTGCACGCAAATTGAATTACGTTGCAGAACGTAAATGTACGACATAATTTAAAACCAAGTTAGTACCAATAATTCACACTACTTTAGTTTGTAGGCTGAAAATATGGATAAATCACAATCCTTATGGCGTAGATGAGCATAGATCTATGCCTAAAAACTACAGCTTTACAGGTATTCGATATTTTATTATGATTTTAAGTTAAGTATTCTTGTTATTTTATTCTGTTATTCAGGTAGTAATATAATAATTACGAGTAACGATGTTCAGTTACAAAAAAAAAAAAAAATAAAATACTGTTATCTCGGCATGTTGGTTTTTTCCACTTAATTAGTCTATTGTAACATCTCGTCGTAATATAACGCATGATAAACACGTATAATATTGCTTTTAAAAATAATGCTATCTAATCCGGCGAGTTAATGCGCGCATATCTGTTTGGAAAAAAAAATTTTAATGATTAGCCAACAAAATGTGTGCATAATTATGATGAACTTATGTTGTTCATTGTTTTCGTTCGTATATTATCTGAATCAATGTATAATCAAATTATTCGGAAATGGCGTGCGCGTTTTTCGTTTCACATATTGGTTTATACAACTCCGAGACCGATACGAGCCCCTAGAGAATTTTCACATTGTTTATGACTACGCACAACTAAACTATATTATTCACGCATACTCGCAGTGGTGTTGTTTTGAAACGAACAACATCCGAAGCGTACAAAATCCTTGTTTTCGGTTCGGGTTTTCGTGCGAGTTCTAACTGTACGTTCTACGACACCCGTATTGTTAAATATTACATTTAAAATCAGTGAGGTGCGCATGTTTGCTTCCGTATTTATCGATATCCGAAGAGCACGACGCGTAGGGGAAGTGAAACAAAACGTTCGTTCACCCTTGGAGGGTAGCGTGACTACAAGTACCGCGCGGATAATGAAGTCTCCGGAAAACGTACATTTTCTGCTATCTCACTCAAGGGGGTACCAAAACCCTGACCCAAGACTTATATTCGTTCGTTGGACTCGCGGCTGTATAAAACGTCTAAAATGTCGTGTGGCTCATGTACAAAAACGGTTATGAACGATTGTTATTACGTACCTTGTTTTCGTTGATGAGGTTCGTGCGGCGTGTGCACCGGAACGATTCGAGTGCGAGAAGTGCGGACGATGTGTTCTCGGAGTCGACGGCAGTCGGGTTCTAACTGATGTTGTTGTTGTTGTTTACCGCTGTTTGTCATGCGCTCATCGTACAGCGAACCGGCCGAGGGTTTGAGAGAGAGTGAGAACGAGAAATAGAGAGAGAGAGAAAGAGAAAGAGCGAGTGAGAGAGAGAGAGTGAACGATCGAGAAAGAGATGAGATGAGAGACGGTGGCTGCGGTGAACGACAGGCGGACGTGTACTGAACGACAACGCGCGCACACCGCACGGGGCCACACGGGGCCGCCGCCGCCGCCGCCGCCGCCGTTCGCAGGCTCCATATTGATTTAATGCGCTCCAGTCGCAGCACAGTCCCACCTAATCCCGTGTACGAAACACCGTGTGCCGCCGGCCGCCGACGGTTTATTATTTTTATATTATACATCTCTCTTCTTCTTCTTATTTTTTTTTGTCGCTCCCGTCGTGCGTACACACACTTAGTGCCCACTCCATCATTCTTTCCCTACCGTTTTCTCTCCGTATACCGCTCCTGTGGGCGAAGTACTCGCGCCCCCGGTCGTTATTATTCTTATTTTTCTGTTTAATATTATCGTAACGTCGTTACTAATATTACCGGTGGTGTTATTGTTACTGTTATTTTTGGTTCCCAGCAGCCGTTTCGTCGACTTTTCGGACGAGGAGGAAAAAAAACCCGCCCTTCGCCGCGGCGTACACGTCGCGGTGCGCCGCCCCCGTCGACCACCGTTTTGCGCGTGGATCGCAATCGTAAATATGTCACGTTCACGCGCGTGCGCGACTTACTACGCGCGGCATCAGCGTAACGCCGCGAATAATACACGTCTTCGCGTGTCACGCACGTAAAACGATATGAGATCACACGTCACGGGCACGGCGTGTTTCACGTGCGCGGAGACGTCGGACTTCGGAACGCCGGGGCGACACTACTCGGCCGTCGTAGGAACCACGACGTTATATTCGGTTTTCGTTCGTTTCGCGGCTTTTCGAAAAACTCACGTGACGCGAAGCTCTTACGCGATCGGCGACCGTCTGCCTGCCGTGCGCCCGAACCCAGTGGTCGGCACACGTGCCCGAGACCGTGCGGTCGGGATCCGCGAGATAGCCGACATAGCATATAATAATAATGTGTTTTGCCGTTTCCAGCGGTGTGCCTGGCGTCGAAGTGCGCTGCCGCGAAATTATGGCGCGATGTTGGAAACCCGGTACCAGCCGACGAAATGGCGACGAAACCTGATAATATATCGCGTCGCCATCTGCCGTCCGACAGCGCTCATAAGAATCGAATGCGCGTTAAATAAATTTTCTGTACTTTCCGTAAGTGTCGAGATGTTTCGACGACACCTCGACGTCCATAAAATTTACATAATATCACCCCGGATTGATGTTCAGCGTTGTGTTTATAGAAACGAGCAACGCATGCAAATATCGTTCGCCGCGTTCCCAAGAAGATTTTATGACGGAGCGCCGGCCGTTCTCGGACGTTAAATTCGTTGTCAATATTATGCGTGGTTTACTACATATTGTGATTCATTAGTGTACGGGCAAGATAATTTTACGCAATTTTTCGTTCGCGAAAAACCCGTATTGTAAATATATTTTTTTAGCGTAGAACATTAATAGCAATGTTATCGTATTTAACGTTTTGACAATACGATTAGTGGATTTAACGTTCAACCGCAAATTATAATTGAAACTTTGAACTTCCGTTATTCGCATGTTAAATAAATATAATCACTGCTGAAGAATATTCCATGAATTTCCTTTACATCTGAACAACCATCACGTGTGGCTGTATCGTAGTATGTCTTACTCGTATTCTATAATGGGTATGTTGGTTTTTTTTCGTATTAGTTAATCTTTTGATATGCCGACAATTTGCTCGGTTCGGTTAGGTTATAGACTTTTTACTACCTAGTTAGTTAAAAAGTAATTAATTAGTGCCAAACTCTGTTTTATTATTTTGCCGTTTTAAATATTTCATCATGTTTACATTAATGTGTTTTAGAACATGTTTGAGATTCCGAACGAAACGAGGAATGGGTTGATTTTACAATAGCGCTTTTTTTTCATTGCGTAAACATTTTTTCGGGTTGTAAAACTTCACCAAAAATTTCATATAGTATTCCGTAAGATTTGAAATTGATCACAGATGGTACTTTAAAAATTTTTTTTTATATTTCCTCACTAGATATGAATAAAATACTGAAAAAAACTCAGCATTAATGTCACATTTCGTCTATCAAATATTTGTATTGTTTTTTTATTTCGATTGAAATGCTTATAAAATTAATACGCAATTTTAATAATTTATAAGTTATTAAATTTAATAAATAAAATTTAAAGATTTAAACTAACCTAGCAGAGATAACTTTATCACACTTTATGTACAAAAGTTATAGAATTTATATTTTAAGTTTAAAAACCTTTTTTTTCCTATAAATAATAATATTATTTTAATTTTTAATTTTTTTTTGTTAAAACATTTTTTTGGAAAATTAACCAATACACTTTTTTTTTGTGTTATAAGATTTATGATCTTAGTATAAGTATATGAATTATTTTATTACGGCGAAATAAGTTATAACTATTAGAGGTAATGTAAGTTATATACTGCATCATCAACTTCTCCATTCGTATACATTATAATTTAACAATTTTAATAAGTATGTATGATTATTATGAAAAACACAAAAGCAGAAAAATATTTGGACTCAATATCTTACCGGATTTTTTCTGTTTATTATGAATGTAAAATACAATATTTTATAAAATCGGCAGTAGGAATTTTTTTTTTAAAGATTTTATCAAAATTAAAATTAATATAATTTTATCATATTAATTTTGTATCAAAAACGATTTGACTAGAGACGCTTGGTAATTGAAATGAAGCACATGGTAGGGGGGAGGAAAAAAATTGTAATTAAATATTTTAAAAATAAAGACTTATTAATTGGTATAAAATTTCACTATTAGTTATATATAAATATTTATAAAAAAAATATAATAAAGTAGAAGCAAAAAACAACATTATTTAATCAAATATATTCGATATGAATTTGGGATCGACTTTATGTAAACAACTTTACATTTTGTAAATGACATGAAAAATAGGAGAAGAAATAGCTTCCACTGTCTTCCCCTCCGGGCATTTTTACTCTTGACGATTTTGCACACTTAAAAATATATTTTATTACTATTTTATAACCATTAAATTAATTTTTTTCAATCAAAATGTTGACGTAATTTACTAAAGTAATATTTTTTTTTAGATATTGTTTGTTTGCAGGTTCTATTATAAAATGTATATGCAATAAATAAATTATGTTAAAGCTGAAAAGTATAGTAGACTATTTTTGCTAATTTTAAATATAATTTATGAAAACAAATTCTATAAATTATTTTTTTGTATTTTAAACATGTTAAAAATTTCATATGATTTTTAAATATAGACGTGCGTAGACCTGTATTTCAGATAAGGAGTCTATAATACTTTTAAACCTTATTTTATCAAAACGTATAGGTATATATTTAATAAATTATAGCGTATAAATAATTGAATAAACATAACTTTAATTTTTTTACCTAATATTATGGTACATTAGCCTCAATGAATTTGTTTTCCTTAGCTAAAAGCTGTTATATTATCATAATAATTTTTTGTACGAAAATTCATTTTTTTCTTTCTTTTTATTACAAAAGTTTATTTTGTACCAAAAATTTTAGAATAAATTACAAAATTACATTTAATTTGAGCAATATTAGTTAAAATAGGGGCTCCTTAATCTAATTATAGTAGCCGATTTACAACAATTATAAAGTAGTGCCCGTGCATACCTGGAACCCTGCACACTCTTGTGCTATCTAGTGTTGAAGTATAAAAAATAGGAACAGATTATTATATACTCGTATTTGGATGTTTATTCATTACTGCTATTATTAACAATATAACTTTTGTAGCTTTTATTGTCATTTATTTTAAGTTAAGTAAATTAATCTTATCCAGTTAGTCCAGAGTTAATCCATCTTAACGACTAAAATACCTTTGAATAATATGAAAAAAAGTCTTTTTTTTTATTATAAAATTGAGTTAAACAATATTTTTATATGTTTCCTATTTTGGTTTCAAAGAACCGGTTTTTTTTTTTTTGGATTCTTCGTGGTCTAGACTTTACAGAACGTGTGTGCTCCAAATTGCTGTAGTTGGATACTGATGTACCCTTAAGTCTAGGTAATTTTGTAAATGGTCGGTAGAGTACTTTCTAGTTTATCTACTTATATAGTATATATTATAAATTATGCATGTATCTATATTATATTTATTGGTTTTTAAATTGAAAATATAATCATTGATTTTTAAAATGTAAATAACTATCTTTTAAACCATAAATTTGATATTAATGTTCACAAAATTAGAATTATTAATGATTTTTAATTTTTTATTTCGTGTATCTTACTATCTCTACATAGTTTGTGGTATAATAAGGATAAGTGATGATTATTTATTAATTTTGTCTTGATTGGCTTCGTATTTTCAGAAAGAAACCAAATAATGATGAAACTTAGTCACGGATTTTAGGTTTGATTAAAAATTTTAGGTTGATTATATACCGGATCATCGTGACTTAATTATTTTAGAGGGGTTTTCGGGAATAGAATTCGTTAAAAAAATTTGAACATCTTTTATATATTTTAAAAGCCGTTTTCTAAATTTTAGTATAGTGCATTTTGATGGTTTATTTTATTTTGGGGATGTGAAAGTTTGTTATTACATTTATTAAAATATAAATAATAATACAATTTAAGAACACTATTGTTCAAAAAAATAAAGCAATGTTAACTCATAAAATTTACTTTATTTTCCAAATAAATATTTTAACTTGATACTTTAACAACATTAAGGAGGGGCTTTTTATCTTTTTGGGATATACTAATTTGATTGTGGTAGTATGATAAATGTGTTACAACAAATTCCATGTAGTTATTACTTCAAATTAATAAATCTTCATAAGATACTTTCTATAATCCTTTATTTTCTATAATGTTTGGTCAATAAATAATAATTAATAATCATCATAAATTATTTAAGGCTTTCATTTTCATGAATTAGTAAAATATCAAATTTCCTTTTTCGGATGTGTAACTATGTTTTTTGATGTATGGTAAAATTTCATTAAACAGTGAAAAAAATAGCTTATATTTAAATTAATATAATTTTTTAATTAATTAAATTTATATATA